TCTGGTGTTGTGCAGAGCTGTTTTTTGTTTGATTTTTTATCCCCCTTCCTGCCTTCATTGGTTTCCTGTGTTTTCCCACAATGCACTTGGACAACCTCCAGGAAAGCAGTCTGACCTTGTTGCATTCATGGGTTCATTTTTTCCAATAGGAGCAGCAGTGTGCAGAATAAACCAGTTAATATGCTTCACTGGACTTTTCTCCTTTTATTGATTAATATTATTCTTAAATTATTTAAAATACATTATTTTAATCTTTGAATTATACTGTGAACGTTCATGTTTGGTGAAGTCAGAAGAGCCTCTGTCTGGATAGGATGAAGTGTCACTCTTCAAATAAAGAAATCTTTAACAGCATAATAACTTAGCAATAAATTCAATCATTTCTGACTAGAAAACCCCCCCCAGAAAAAATGCATTCATGCATTGTTCATGCATTGTTCATGCATTGTTCATGCATTGGTCAGACCACAAGTTTTTAAGCTCATGGACAACATCCAGCTCTAACTGCAGAGTTGGTGTGACGTGGATCCATGTTCAGGATTTTAACAGAAACAGTGAAAATAAGCAGCTGTTGTGCTCGACTTGCTCAGAAATAATGAGGCAACTTGTTGAATTTTTGTTGCGTCATTGAGGCTTTTATGCAGATTAAATTCTATCCACAATGTTCAACAATATTATACAGAAGACCCTGTTTTTATGTGGCCCTTGATGTGATCCCAAACCGACTTCAGCCTTTAATGAAAGTCAGTTTGACCTCCTGCACTGTAGACTATTGTCTTTACAGGTGACAGACAACTGCAACTCACCCACTAATGCCCAAAGGGGATCCCAAGAACCCAGCTCTTAGTCTACGCAGCACTAAATGAACTTGGGTATAGATGCATGTGAATTTACTTGCGACAAATGGGAACTAAACAAAGTGAAGTAGCTTTCAGTTTTCATGCTCTCCAGCTGTGGAACAAACATCCTGAAAATATGGTGAGTTAGTTTGAAACAGGGCTTAAAAACTTGACTCTTTGAAGTGCCCTCATTTTTTTTTTTACTTTAATCTTATATTTGCTTCTTACTGTAACAATTCAATGTATCCTGATTATAACGTTTTAAATACAGTTTTGATGTCTTCTCTTTCTTTGTTGAGTGAGATGGGAGACCTTTTTAAGCTTTTAATAAAAAGTGTATCATATGGCTGCCGAATTTCTTACTGAAGCCTAAAGATCCAGTATTGTTCTGCTCATTACCTGACTCGTAGCACAGACTTTATCAATGAATTTCCAATTTTTCGAATGAGGTTTGGTGTACAAGTTCTCGAGAGTGAAGGATTTAATGCTGTTTACTGCTGGTGAGCCAGATAAATGAATGAATCTCTATGTTGGGGAGTTGGAGGGGAGCAGGACAGAGTCTGCTGGAGTCACATGGGTGATGCACCCGATCACAGCCATCAATAATGGATCGAGGCTAGACAAACCTTTATCGGCTTACACGCAGCGGGCTGCTCGGTCTGCATGGAAAACACGCCACACAAATACACTCCGTTATACCCACAGACCTCACGAAAAAAACGCAAGGCTTCAGATGCTTTAATCGAGCTCCAGGCCCAACGGGATGCAGTGAGAGCCTAGCAGTAAATCGGTCCACACATCACCGCCTGCAGCTGGAGGGAGGTCCGGTCTTACCTGCACGGCCCGGGTGAAGAAGACCCCCGCATCAGAAGCCAGTTTTTTCACGTTGAAGTCCATGATGGAGGCGAGCGGAGGCGAGCATACAGGCGGGGCTGTGCTGAGTGTCCCCGCAGAGGGAATCCTCCGGATCAGCTGAGCAGCAGGAACAGGAGCAGGAGGAAGAGGAGGATGATGAGGAGGACTGATGTCAGGGACTGTAATCCGCTTCGTGCACGATCGGAAATCTGCTCACCGCCCTGCGCTTAAAGAGACACCGCACCGGGCTGCAAGTCACGACTCCTCCGGTTCCCCTGCAGCGGTACTGAATCTCCACATGACCTTTACCGGCAGCTGAGTACAAAAGCACTGCGGAAATATCACAAATCTGCATTAAAAAACGCCTTCAAAGAGGACCTGTCTGCTTTTCATGTCTTCTCCAGTCACATCCATCATTCAGGGGCGTTTCTACGGTTTTTTGATGGGGTGGCTGCAGACAAAACACCAAAACCTGCAGTCAATCTAGTGTCCACTAGTGGCTCTTAACAGTGAGCTGGTCCCCATGTTAAAGTATCCAAATAATTGTGTTTACGGATATATCATTATTTAGTTCAGACCTTGCCACAGTGTGGGGCCCGCCCCCTGGGGGGCGCAGAGCCATTGCAGAGGGGGCGTGGTGTGAAAAGGGGAGGGGACAAAACGCTTGGACACTGCTAGCACGGGGCGCCTACAGGAACGCAAAGCAGGAGATGAAGCATAGCTGAATGTTTCCAAACCAACTTCATTCCAAGCCAAAGACTAGAAAATATGGTGAAGCACGTCTTCCCTTTGGTCTTTTCTCTGGCTCTTTTCCCGTGTGTTATGAAGAAATCCTTTTTTTTTTTTTTCTTTTGTTGTATTTATCCGTGACACCTTAAAGACCAGTCCGTGAAAATATTGTCAGACATAAAAGGGTCTGTGGCGCAAAAAAGGTTGAGGACCGCTGGTCTAAATGTTTGAGGATTTAAAACAAACAAACAAACAAACAAACAAGCAAAGAAAAAAAAAAAACACATTTTTTAAACCACTCCATCTTTATTGCTTTGTCATATTTTTACACCGATGTCCTGGAACTACTGTGATCAGGAAAACGTGGAACTCCAAACTGTCTGGATCCAAAGTTCTTCACTTCAGTTTGGACTAAACTTATCAGCAGTTACAAAACAAATTGAGAACAGAGTGTGGACAAACAGGAAACCTAGTGGATGAAATCTGAAAGGCTTTGCCACACAGCAGTTCTCTCTCTGTCTGTTTTTTTTTATTATTATTATCAGTACATACATCTTCATAAATAAAGAACAGTCAAACCCAAAGAATAATGTTGTGTCCAGAAAGCATAAATGGAGACATTCAATGAACAGAACAGGCGACTGAGAAAGAAGATCTGTGCGACTCTAAAGAGCTTTGATCATGCATCAAGTCCTCCTCATATTCAACTTCCACACACACTGAATCATCATGATCATAATGGTGACCGTGAGAAAGCAACAGAGACCTGCACCAATCTGAAATCACACAAAGAAAAACTGTACACGAGAACCAGGAAGCGTGTTTGGTTGGAAAACCGACGCGGCTGATATGAAGTAGCTTAAATCCATCAGTCAGGCACCGCTCATGAGCATGAGGACTGTAACGTTAAACCACAGGAAACAGGACAGCTGGTGATGTGTTCCTTCACTGGCGTCATCTGGGAGGGAAGCCCAGCGTCAGAAGCCTGGTGAATCAAACTGCACTCCAACTAAATCCTGTTAACAGCATCAGCGCCGCTTTCACCCCATGAAGTGAAGACAGTACTTAATCCCTGTTCCTCCAGCCCCGCTCAGGCAATTTATTAAAGTGGCATCAAATCAATTCTGAGAATTAACGAATCCCTGACGTAAAACTGCATTCAAAGAATAAATAAGTGTTTGGGGGCATTACATAAGGTTTAAAAAGAGGAGCCGAGGAAGGGCGATTATCCTCAGAGGAAAAGTCTGAAGCTAAAGTCGCAACTTTGTGGGAACAAACTGTCATATTCTTAAAACGAGAGGCATAATCTGTAAGGACTACTCTTATATTCTGAGGTATTATGAAATTATAGATTTTAATGTTAAGGAAAACAAACATTTCTGAGATGGTTGAAAAAAAAAATGTGAGAAAAACTGCAATTTTATTGAAATCAAACTTGTAAAAATATCAAAAATGCTGTGAGATTAAAGCTGTTAATTCACTGGATACGACTGATCTCTGAGACAAAAAGTCAAAAAAAGAAAAAGAAATGAAAATCTAATATTGTTTCCTAGGTTTGCTGTTTATTTGCAAACCAAAAAAACTACATTGATATTCTGTGAAAATATAAAATCACAGGAAGGACAAAACTTTAATATAAATTAGTAAAAAAAATTCTTTTGATACAATAAAATCAAATTTAAATTAAAAGAAAATAAACTAATATGTATTTAGGTCATAAAGTTTGAATTTCTAAATTTGAGATGGAAAAACTAATATTCTTTGATGGTTAAAAACAAAGTCTCTCAGTACACTTCTAAGAAAGCACTGAAGTATTTGTTGAGGTTATAAAACTCAAATGTCCAATAAAAACCTCAGAAATGTCTTAAATTTGCAAGAAACATTATGAAACAGAGATTACGGTTGTAAAAACCTTTGAAATTTTCCTTTCAAAGTTTTACATTTTTGGAAATGAACAAATAAACTATGGACTATATTATATATAGCTTCAGGTTATTAAAGTCACACTGACCAATGTTAAACTGAGGTAGGAACCAATTTTGCTTTAAAAACTTGATTTAAAGACTAAAGGAGAGAAAGTAATAAAATAAACTTGTAATATCCTCTGACATTAAACTGGTTAGTTTATGATAGAAAATTATAGATTTAGAACCTATTTATTTATTTATTTATTTATTTTCGATTAAAGAGCCACAGTCCTCCATCCTGTACTGTTTGTAGTTCTCGCAGTTTAACAGATATTTGAGGGTTCAAAGTTTTCCTCAGACCCCCCCCCAAAAAAAACAACAACAAAAAACACACACATCAGAGGCGAGTGCGAGGAGGAGCAGAACTGATGTGACAGAAGATACCGAAGGATTTATTCACAACTTCGTGCTAGAAGAGCAGCACCAATCGAGGAGGAAAAAAGGAAACGAATGCCAACTGTCCTGTTCACACTAAAATCAAACAGCCAGATGTAACCAGGTGGTTTGTGGCGTTGCCAAAGCTGTTGGTCTTACTTGGTTGGTTCTGCTAATGGTGATTAATGTAATTTAAAAAAAACAAACAAACAAAAAACTACAACAACCTGAAACTGCAGTTTAGAAATAAATAATTACATTAAATCTGTAAAAACACTAAAATTCTTTAGAATTATCTGCAATTGCAAGTTTCCACCTACTAAGCTAAAAGCAACTTTTCGGAATTGAGATTGACATATTTTTTTAAATTTTTTTAATAAAGTAAAGTTTTAGTTACTTAATAAATTAAGAATACCGTTTAAAAGAGGAAATTCCTGAAGTCATCTTTAAAGCTACAAGACGAAAAATGCCAGTGAAGGAACTTTTTAAACTCAAAGACATCTTCAAGGTGCCCTGTGGAGGTTTTTCCTTTCTTTTTTTCCACCACTAGGGGTGCTGTTGAGCTAAGAAAGAACACTTCCTGGATTTCTGATTCAGGTGTTCAAGATATTCAGCTTTTGAATGTTTATTGTGAAACAAACAAATTGACCTTGGGACCTCCACAGGGCATCTTCAGGGACACTACAGCAAACAGAGAGGAGAAATTAAGAGTCTGGTTGTTGTTAATGTGTTTAAATGTGTTAAAGTGTTAAGTTTAACCGTAACCTGGTCAGCAGGGGTGGGGATGAAACATGAAACTTAACCTCCCTTCCTTCTGGATGACTAAACCTTAATTTGAAACAAGTCAGATGTGATTTTTTTTTTTTTTTTTTTTAAAGATCCCATCACCAGTTTCGAACATACAAGTGAACACGCAGTTTTATTTTCCTCCCCTTAGCTTTTCAAAATAAAACTGTTTGATTTAAGTGAAGGAGTTATTTTAGCAGCAAGCTGAACGACCAATAAACATGATGGGCCGTCAGGTGTCCTCAAAGGATAACCGTTTATCTTCCAACCTCCTCTCTTTTAGTATCATCTGGACCACTGGAAGCACCAGGGAGTTCAGAGGGTTCTGGGCTTTTAACACCACAGAGAGAGCAGTACGAAGCATCAAAGCTCTAGTAAAGGCCAAGTATGTGGACACGTGAGTAGACCTGTAGAGGAACTCCAAAGGCTTTCCATGAGCCTGCGTTTCCAGGTGTTTAGGTGTCCAGCTGTACTGGATTATTGTTGTTTCATTTAATTTAGTGTTGGGCTTCCAGAAGACTCAACTCTGTTAATAATGAAATGAAAATTGCTGAATATTTTACTGAGTTGAGTAGAGCTGTACTGACACTGATGGAGATTCTCATCATGTAGAACCGCTGCATGTGACACCACTGAGGTCTGGCATTTGACAGTCCATGTTTAGTGCTGTAAAACAAAGCATGAGAGTCGAGGTCTGCATGTCTGGGTCTTTTTTCCATTAGACTTCTATAATCTGACTTCACAGGAGTAACCCCCTGCTGGACATTAGAAGTAACACATGTCTGCCCAAAAGGCTATGTGAATCTTTTGATATACAGTATATGTCCAAGTCAATTCACCCAGAGCCTGTGCAGGGATCAATTCTTACTGTCTGTCATCAGTAGCTCTTTGTTTGTATAGAGGCTTTATCACTTTGTATCCGGAAGCTTTAATGTCCACATACATTTGTCCATGAAGTGTATTTGCTTTGATTATTTTCACCTCCCTCTTAGTTTAAAGCTCCCCGCTGCTTCCAGTAAGAGTTACCAGATTGGTTAAAGGTACTTTTTTGTTGTAAGTCTTTGTTTAAAAAGAGTTTAAAACCTAAACAAAAATCACAAACACCAACAGAATGAGAAGAAATTACTACGTTGTTACGTATGGACCTGCAGAGATATCAACTCAAGTTTGACTTCTATACAACCAGAAGCCTTTTTCCCCCCAACCCAAGAAGCTGCCCCCTGCTGGTCACTAGAAAGAATGTAGGCTTTATAATGTTAGAAAAAAAGGATGCTACACTGGCCGACTGCACTTTTTGGTTCAAAGTATTGCACAACAGTACAGCCTGTCCCCATTAAAACCTCAGCTGATATCTCTGTAGCTCAGCACACAGACGCGTTGGACATAATGTCAGAACTGCTGTTTCTTTACAGTCTGTTGTTACCTCGAGTTAACTTTAAACTCATTTTAAAAGCTGGAATCTGCAGTTTGAGTACCTTTAAGACGGGAGGCTGAATTACATGTGAATGGTCCTTTAAAGAGTTTACAGGACTGCTATGAATGATTCTGTGTATAGTTTCTTAGCACTGACTGCAATCAGCCAGACCTAAAGAGATTTAAATACAGCGTAAAGTCATGAGTGTTTACAGTTGTATTATAAAACATACACACAGTAAAAGGATGAGACCCACACATAATATTTACATATATAAACAAAGAAGTCCATCACAGAGCCGCGAGGTCTGCAGCCCGCACACTTAATGGCTAATATTCACTGTACATGTGTCCCACGGCTCCGCGGCCTTCGCTAGCACGAGCGAGTGTGAGCTGAGGCCTCCGACTCGCCACGCGGCCTTTTTTTTTTTTGTTCGGTTACCGACAGCGAGCTGGGGGCGGCTGGCGCTGCCGTCCGCTGAGAACCGAGCATCACTACGGCTGTTTTGTTCTGGTTTAAACCTTTGACACGCAAACACACTCACACTCACACTGAGAAATAACAGTCACCCAACCCCACAAACCTGCCCCCAACAGAAGAGATGTGCAGCAGAGGTAAACACCCTCACGACAAAATACCATGCACCACGTCTTAAGTTCTATGTGTCAAATATCAAACTGCTGTGAGGAGGGTCAGAGACACTGTTCTAACTCTACAAAAGAAGAATTATAAGAATAATGCACACAATTGACCCTTGTGGTGATGATGGTGGGAGGGGCCTCAGGTTGGTTTTCTGGATATTTACTGGGAATTTCGGCTCCCTTGGCGTCACCCTCTCTGTCCAAAGTTTGCATCCTGTCCGGGATTTGTTTCCATCGGGTCTTCTTTGAAGTTTTCACAGTGCTCCATTACTTTTCTGCAAGAAGACAACAGTCACAGGTTGGAATTTTGACCAAGACGTTCTTAATTCGTAAAAATATTATATATATATCTATTTTATTTCCATGGAAATCATCTGTGAAGCCACATCAGCGTTAGTTTCTTTGCTGTGCTGGGAGCTGGTCGTGACTGGTGGGCTTTATTTCTCAGCTAGCGTTAGTTTGACTCAGGAAAGATCCCATTTTTAAAAAATTGAATTACCATCTATTAAGGTAATGGCATTAAAGCACCTAACAGTAGAAAAATGTCACCTGATACATGTTTTAAAAAAAGGGCTTGTGATATCTGACCTGCTGTGTTTGTAAGAAAAAAAATACAGAAATATGTGATTCAGCCTCAAACACTCGGTGATCAGCCCCAACAACTCTTATCATCCTCTCTGCTGAATGCAACAGAGGGCTTCTAAAAGCAGGAAAATGAGGCTTTCTGACTGCTGCCCAGCCTCTGACTCAGTTACCACATCATCATACAGTTTGTTCAGAGCCGTCAGTCTCACCGGGCCATGTCCTTTGTGTCCGGATGTGAACTCTCCAGCTCCAGAACTTTCTCCAGAAGAGTCATTCCTCCTTCTTTTATCAGCAGAGGACAATACTTGCTTGCTGCAGAGTAGGAAAAATGCAAATGGAACAAGTGTAAGACTCCCAGACAGTGGACTGGATAGAACATTAGGCCCAAAAGAAGCAGGTAAAGAAAATAAAATTTAAAAAAATAAAAAAAAAAACAAAAAAAAACAAAGCAGTTTGGAGACAAGTAAACAAGTAAAGATAATAGCCATGTCCAAATTCATGGGCTGCATCCTCCTGAGGACCCGGCCTTCGCGGTCTACGTGGGCCGGGTCCTCAGGAGGTCGGGTAGGCCGGAAGTGCGCGGCTGTGAAATTGGACGGTCTAGCCTTCTGATTTGCGTCATTGCTGTGTCGGAGGAGTTTAATAAACTCGGCCGTCTACTCTTTCTATCCAAAATATAACAGGACACTGATGCAAATTCTCGATCATCTCACACTTCTGTTTGATGTTTATTCAGCTGTGTGAAAACTATAACTTTAATCTCAGCCAAACCGATTTACTTAGGAGGATGCAGCCCATGAATTTGGACACCCTCAATGTTTCACATATACTAAGTTATTCTGGTCTGTTAGGCAAGTCAGGTGACATATAAACCCTTCAGGACAGCTTTAGGGGTAAACGACACGCTGCGCTCTCAAAGCCTCTTGATACTCACGGTAAACTGACACCAGGTTGTAAAGAGCCCATGTGGCCCAGTGCTGACTGACAGGAGAGATGCTCTGAGGCAGCAGTCGGAGGATCGGCTCGAATGACCTGAGAGAGGACCGTCGCTTTGTTAATACATTCAGACAGGACAAGCCACCAGTGGCTGTGGAAGTTCACTGTAGAGGGGAAACGGTAATCGATCACCTGTAGTTGATGTTGCGCCGCGAGCTGACGTCCCAGCTCTGGATGGCTTCCCACATCTTCTCCATCACCATGTCTCTCCGCGGCTCCTCCATCTTCCAAACCTCAGGCCCGTCAAACATGATGTGCGACAGCACTCCACAGGCGTTGTACGACACCTCAATCCCATCGGCCTTACTGTCCAGCAGGTTACTGCAAAGAAAACAGACGGAGAAGAGGACATGAAGAGGCTGAGTGGAGAGACTGTGCGGACCAATAGTAACCACCAACAGAGTCTCAGTCCAGGTGTTTCTGCCTCTGGTACCTGAACACTGTGATGAACTGTGGGGTGAGCAGCTGTGGCCTCAGAGCTTTGACCTCAGCCACGTTTCCCAGAAGACCCAACATATTGCGATGAAGCTCCTGCTTGTCTGGAAACTCCTGCAGACAGAAATCATACAACATGAGATGAAAACATTTAGAAATGATGGCACAGCGAAATTCTCCATGACGATTGCAGAACTGTATAGTCAAGTGATAATTGTATCCCCTCAAATCCACTCAGTGTTTACAGGTGAAGACAAATTTCAGACCAAACTTACAGCAGAAAAAACCCCCATAAAAAGCAAAAATGTAACGACTCTTTGAAAGGAACATAACAGCAAAATAAAGGTACACACTAAGTTTAAGGATAATGGTGAACTTTTTTTTTAAACTGTTTCCTCTGACACAAAATTAATTTTGACAGAAATATTTATTTTAGTATTTTTCAATTATTACACTTATCATCACCTTAACAGTGTGTGGACACGAGCTGTACACGAGTAGTGAAAGAAGGGCTGCACTTTATTTTATACTCCTAACAGCTCCTTTCATGGTTTTGGCTTTAATAACAAAAGCGATCGTTGTTCTCGAGTCATTTCTTGTGAATCGAGCAACTTTCTATATCAGTTCAGTTTCTATATCAGTTCTGAAGAATAACGAGCAGCCTGGCTCATCTTCATCACCATAGACACAGATGGGTGCAGCCTGGACTCACCTGCAGACACTCCAGGAACAGGCTCATGCCCCGACAGTTCAGGAACATCTGACAGTTGTCGGGCGTCTCGTCTGTGATGTTCCACAGGGCGCTCCAGGAAAACTCCATCACCTGGTCACACTGAGACACACACGCAAACACAAAACATCTGCTTTAAACAACAAAACAAAATAAAGTATAACTGAATAAAGGTTAGTTTTCATATAAACGATGATGATGAGGATCTGTTTCCTGCTTCCAGCAGGTGGAAGTGTTATGTTTTCAGTGGTGCTTGTTTGCCTGCTTCTCACCAAGAATAAATAAAAACAACAAAAACTGGACTTCAGGAGATTTGGTGGAGCACAGACAAAAGAAGAGACGCTGTAACACCTTCTCAGTCATTATAAATGTCTGGGAATTTTCAAAATTAAACACCTCCACATTTGTTTCACTAAGAGGGAGAGTATACTACATTCAAGACATAAAATGCTACAAACACTCTGGCATATCAATTTAGTCACATGATTACTGAGCTGAGTTTAGTAATCATGGTTTTAATAGTAAAGCAGGGCTCATTTTGATGTATACAGTAATATTAAAAATAAGCATGAATATTTCTCTAAAATGAGCCAGTGTCACTAGCCTGTAGGCCGTGAAAAGATGATTAAACGGGGCGCTATTAGTGAGAGAGAGTGCATCGGCCTTTGTGAGCACTCTTTCAGTTTCTAAAAGCCACATATAAATCTGTAAAGCACTTAAACTCACCATTCTGTCCTGTAACTTCTTCTGAATTAAATTCAGCATTGTCTGAGAATGAGAAAAGAGTCAGGAATGAATTTATCACCTGTATAATCAGCAGCTGATTTCAGTCAAAATGCAACACAAACATGAGAAAATGCAGCTTTGCTACAGAGAAACAATCCTGAATCCACTTTGAAGGTAGGACACCAGCAACAGACTCCTGAAGGCTACTTTTACTATAACGTTTGCTTTAAGTTATCGTAAATCAGACTAAATAATGCTGCTGCAGCCATATATCACACCATAGATGTAGTACAATTTTAGCATGTTAGCCCATAGTGAGTGCGATGGCATGTTGGTATAAAATTCAAATTACAGAGCACGTTCTTTTTCCAAACATGACTAAAGCGCTGAGATTGGATCTGAAATATCTGCACTGCTGTCATCACATGCTCTCAGTGTGTTCACACAGCTTTCCTCTGGGTGCTCTGGTTTCCTGCCACACCAAAAATAAGCTTGTTAGATAATAGGAACTCCTGCTGCTGACCTTGACTGGCAATAAGTAACAGGCCTGAGATCTGAAGCGGATCACCGACTTCTACACTAAGGAGGAAATTTATCCAAGACTTTCCAAGGTTTCTTTACCCTCACAAATCCCATCTTGCCCACAGCCTCCTTATGGTGGTTGTCCACCTGGCAGACCAAAGCATTGCAGAGGTGCACGGCGATTCTCTGGATGGACTCATCCTGCCGGGCCGGCTCCAGGATCTTCAGCAGCAGCTGGTTGACGCGGCTGTACTGGAACTCGAGCTCCTCTGGGATGCTGAAGTTGCACAGAGTCAGGCAGCAGTTCCTCTGGACCTGGTGAGGAAACAGGAACTCACAGATTCACAAATCAAATGTAATCGAAGAGCGTGATTCTAAATATATGATGGCCTTTGTTAATAATCAACTGAAGGCTAAGATGCATAGTCAAGGTTTCCTATCAAATAGTGGACCTGAACAATTTCTGAGCCCTTTCTGATCTCCCAATCCTGCCCCCAGTTCTGAAGACGCCGTTTTATACATACTTCAGTCCTACAATAAAAACGCAACTGAAGGTTTTAGAGCTTCACATAACACAAAATCTGCCCTTCTGCTTTAATTCTGTTAGTGTGGCCACTGACCATAACACTCTGCTCAGCTTATTTATGCAGCAGCTGGTTCATGGGGATGATATCAGACTTACAGTGACCTCCTGGTAGTGCTCCATCCCATTCAGCACCACCTGAATGACCTCCCGCCGTAACCGCACACTCTGATCGCTGCGGTACTCGGTGTTGGTCAGGTAGAAAAGAGCAGCGCTGCCCGTCACCTGGATGCTCTTATCGTATTTATGGCACTTCAGTGCTGCGATGACAAGCTGCAAACAAGGAAACAAAGGTTTCAGGGGAGGAATGAGAAGCAGTCAGGAGAGATGATCACAGGAAGTAATTGAAGGAGAACTTTAAGTCCTACCTGCAGAGCGCGGAGCAGCTGGCTGCAATGTTGTATCCTGGCGATGTCAAACAGCTGATTGATGGCTCTGTGGGCGAGCTCAGGGCGAAACTCTGTGTAAGCCTCGATAGCGTTCAGGACCTGGTCTTCATTCTTTGATCCAGTCACCTGAAAAAGTCCAGAAACACAAAGATTTAACCAACAAAACAAACCTTGAATAAAGCGCTATAGATGGTATTAATCTGCAGTTCAGCCTGGTGTGATCAGCTGAAAGAAACCCAGGTTCAGGTACCTTATAGGCAGGGATGTGCGTCACATTACAGAGGGTGGTGTCGTACAAGCCCAGAAACTGCAGGGGCCTCTTCAGCTCCTGGAAAGGGTAGATGCTGCTCTTGCACGGTTCAGTGCTAATGGAGAGAAAAACACAGCTTGTTAAGAATCTCATTTATCATCTGAGGGTCAATAAAGGGAGATTCCAGCCCCAGCTCATCGTTACCCACCTCGGACGCCCCATCGCTTCTTCAAAGTGTGGAACTGTGCAGTTGTCTAGCATGATGTGACCCGAGATGTCCAGGGACATCAGGTGTACCAGACGCTGGACGATGGCCGTCAGGATTTTCTTGGTCATCTTAAACTTTGAGATCCGCCTGCTCTCCTGGGAGATGTCGAGGTGCCTGAAGAAGGAGGGAGTGTCATCAGTGACTATTTTTCAAGTGATCAGTGGGCATACAAGGGGAGCTACACATGTACTAAAATGACAACATGCAAACTGCTCTCAGTTTATCACAGTTTTTTTTCCTTCTCTTGGCTCAGGATGATGTCACCAAGGAGGGATTTCCCAAATATGGTCTTCTAAGGTCCACCCACTTCTGTTTACGAGGGGCAGCTGATCAGAAGAGGGTTGGAATAAATGGGGAGGAGCTGAAGCAGGTTGTTTGCGCTTGAAAAATAAAACCAGGAGCTGAAACTGAGCAGAAAAGTTACTTTTAACTTGGACTTCAGTAAAATATATAAAAATATTCTAATAAACGCCCTGCGACAGACTGGCGACCTGTCCAGGGTGTACCCCGCCTCTTGGATGGATTCTAATAAGCATCAACCTAAAGTTTAACAGCAAAATATGTATGAGGACACTATAAATGCATTACTTTGCCTACTGGCCACAGATTTATGTGCATTTGCTCCCCAATCTATAAACAAGCTTAATGACATTTTACAGTCCAGTACCACCAAATTTTGTGCTTCTTCTTGATCACTGAATATAAAATGTTTACCAAGTCTTTCATTGAAGATTGAGCCATTTAGCCAAAATGACAGGGAGTCTATTTTGACAAATAAAGATGACGCTTTAAAATCTAAGAACACTGCATCAGGTGTGAAGCACAGCAGTGGTAGCATGATGCTGCACGGCTGTTTTGCTGCCAGTGGTACTGCTACAATGAAAACCGACTACCTCCAAATTCATCAACTTTAACTCAGCATCTAGATGGCTTAAACTTAGACATAGTTTGATGTTCCAACAGGACAGTGATCCCAAACACATCAAAACTGGTCTTAGAATAAATAAAGCAGGCAAACATTAAGCTTCTGGAATTCCCTTCCTGCTTAAATGCCAGAGTTCGTGCCAGGACACCAAACAATTTAAATGTGATCAAATATCCAGCCAGAATTATCAGGGAAGCTTGTTGATGGCTACCAAAGCATCTGGTTGCTAAGGACTCCTCAGCAATTTGCTAAGGGACATTTAAATATTAGTGGAGATATATCTTTTAACCCTGTGTGGATTAGAGAAAATCCAAAATAAAATCAAACTTGTGCACTCAGTTCTTGTTTGTTTGTTTGGCTTTTTTTACAGCCCTTACAGATGTATGCGATACAGTCATTTCACAGAACAGTTTAAAGATATCATTAAAAGCCCAAGATTCCCCATCATTCATGCCCATGATTAGTTTATGGAAACTTCAGTGTCTGATGAAAGGTCTCCTTTTACCTACAAGAGATGACCACAGCAGATAGATCTGAATTTTTGATTTGGCACTGATTTTCACACTGGTTGCCCTCTTTGACCCTTCTGTGGATTTAGGTCTCCTCCCAGTCTTGAACCAGACATTAATACTTTTTATTTGATGCGTTAAATGAACGTTAACCTCTCATCCCCCACCCCACAGAGCTTACCTGAGATTAACGAGCTCCAAAACTGTGCTGATCAACTCCTCGGATAGGTCCACGTTGTAGAGAACAAGAGAGGCCAGTCTGTCCTTCCACTGGGTGAGAAAAGATGTCCCCAGTAACTGTACATTGGACAGATCTAGCGAGGTGAGCGACTTCAGGGGTTTGAGCAGTGTCTCGGGGTCCAGCTCTTTCGGCATGCCACCCAGGTTGAGCAGCCTGAGCCGGTTGAATCCCTGGAAGTTAAAGTCTGTTTCTAAAGCATGCCGAGAGGAGGGGCTCTCCTCCTCGTCCTCGTCTGTGTCCTCGTTGCAGGCGAGTGGGGCGCCGCACTTCCTGTAGAAGATGTTGCTGCAGCCGAAAAGACAGAGAGACACCAAAGTGTCGCGGAAGCAGGACAGTGCTTTCAAGCTGCGGGATGACAGGTTGTTGCAGTAGGTGAGGTGGAGCTCGATCAGGTCCTGCACACAAAGGCAGTGATTAGTGGGGCCAAGAGAAGAAACCACTGACATTAACTTCTCACTGTCTCTATATCATGAAATTCCTGTCAGACGGGGTTTTCCCAGGCTTCAGACATGAATTCTCTCCTTCCTCCAGTTTTGTGCATTTACTTCAAATAATTAGCATTTTTGATGATAACAAGGTCAGAAAAATACATCAGAGTTCTGTTAAACAAGGCATTCATTCACTTGACTTTACACTCTAATCGTGCTTACTGCCATGCAAAGCCTTGTTCTGAGCTCATGTTTCCTTCACACAGGCTTTATTTGTGCGGGCCACCAGTGAGGACAATGCCAGTCACACTTAATTTACTAGCAAACATTTCCCTCAGTCCTATTTTGAAAATTCAGTTGCTGTCAGCTCTAGCACTTCGTGTCTCCACTGGCTGGCTCTCTGGGAACGTTGCTGCTGTGCCAGTCCTCAATATAAATCCTCAGAGAGGATGTCATCCAGCAGTCAGATAGACTCCAGCTCCTCCATCTTGGACTGCAGCTGCTAGTGCTCGCTCTGCAGCCTCGGTTTGTTTCGATTAGAAGCACATAGACCACTTCTCCACCTGCTGCAGGTTTTCCTTAAAGTGACCCACCACCAACTACAGTCAAGAAGGTAAAGCTGGAGTCTGTCCAACAACAGAATGAGAGACATGGGGAATCCTGATTTTATAGCTGCATGTTCGGCATTTTTTCCCCAGCTTTTTAGTTTATTAATAACCTGTGGGTGAAACCTCATGGCAGATCTGAAACACAGGGACACTGTGTGATCACACAATAGCAACCTACCAATCACAAGTTAGCCCTACCCTAAATCCTCCCTGCCTTGATGCCCTTTTTCACTCTACTTTTCTGAATTATGGTCCCATTAGAGTCTGAGATCATAAACTCATTGGGAAAGTCTCTACTGAGGTCAAAGGTCAAGTAACAAACAGATTTATACACCGACTTGTTTTTAAAACCAGGGCAGTTCACATCAGAGCACACAACACTACAGTGGGAGCTGAAAATAGTTTTTGCTGTTGTTAGTCTTTTATTTGTAGTGTTATCACTATTTAGGACAAACAGTCCAGAATCCACACACAGTAACACTGTGATCCAGGAGGGGAACGAGCAGCCACGTCTCCATGGGACACATGAAACTCTGCTCACTGTGCTCCCTCAAGCTCGTCTATCTCAGTGCCCAAGGTTGTGCTTAATGTTTTGCTGCTGTAACGCAGGAATTTATGGATAAATACAGTTTATATAACTTCATCTTATCTAAATTATACAGTTATTTTCTGCTTAGAGACATTTTAGGAGAATTCCCTTGTCACTTATAATTTTATTTAAATCTGATTTGTTCAGTTTTGTGAGAAACACACTGCAGGTGTAATGCCTGAGACTCCCCATCAACTTTTAGAACTGAAGAAACCTTTTGGATCACAGGCGAGACATCTTCAAGAACCCACAGGAAGCTCAGCTGCCTTAAACTCAAGCATTTTAAACTATCCAGTGTTTAAATGTTAATCAAATCAAAATTTATTTATATAGCACATATTAAAACAACAGTTTTGACCATAGTGCTTCACAGTCAATAAAAACATGAGACAGTTAAAACAAACAATAAGAGGACAACAAACAATAGGTAACAACGCAACAAGCTAAAACAGCCAACTAGACAGAATCAAAAGCCAAAGTAAAAAAATAAGTTTTAAGACGTAAGACTGGATAGACCCCGTCACATGCTTTGTCAGCTACACCATCCACCTTCAATGCAGTTTTTCTTCCATGATTTCTGATACTTTATGGATAGTTTATCTCAAAACAGAGATTTTATTTTTTAGAATAAGTACCAACCAGAAATTAGAAGCAGCACTGGCTGAACAAAAACGAATTTTCTTAATTTTTGGTGGGTTTCGATGGTCATATCTCCTGCCAAAAGCTTAAACTGGTGTGGTTACTCTTACCACCTTGTTGCCTCCCACCTGTTTTTTGATGGCTTCCAGGTCTCTGTCACGGACAAAGTCCTCTCTGAGCTGCACCCGGGTCAGTCTGGTGCTCCGGGGATCTGAGAAGAGCTGGAAGAAGCTCTCCTCTGGTTCAAAGTTACTGTCTGTGTGGACCAGTTCCATGTATCTGTAAAAAAAAACCAACAACAACAAAAAGCAATTAAAAGTCCATGGCTACTGACATGACAGGCTGAACCCTTTAGACTGTTACTCACGTGTTGACCAGCTTGTCGCAGATCTCACTGGGGAGGAAGATGTCTGAGCGCAGGCACAGCTTGTTCCTGAAGCCCTGGTAGCACATCGTCTTCTTCAGGTTCCTCAGGCAGAAGACAGTCGCCAGAGTCATGAGGCTGTCGGGGTTGTCTCCTGCTTTGGCTGCCATGTTCGCCTCTTCTTCTCTGGCTCAGATCAAGACGGGGCAGTGCAGGGGACCTGTGAGAATAAAACGAGTGAAGCATTTCTAATGAAAAAGAAGAAAAAAAATAGTTCCCTTTTCTAAGCCTTTAAACCCAACTAAACAGCACCCAAATTTACTCAGGAACAGCTGTAAGAGACAGATCAGTTTAGCCTCGGATCGCTCGTGCAAATAAATTCACTGGAGATTTCTGGGCTATTTCAACCCATAAATATTCAGGCAATAGAAGAACTACTTCCTTCCAAAGTATGACCATAATGATCCCACCACATACACTTTACTCGGAAAATTAGGTATATTTAGCAAGTAAATTTAGCATTTTTATGTTACGGTCAGGGTTTTTACACTGCTCAGAAAAACAACTGGCCCACAAGTAATTTAGACAATGAATGAGGGGGATCACATGAGCATTTTCCTGTTAATTTTGGCCATTTGATTAAGAAAATTGGTGACTTTCTTTAGGCGGAAGGCCAAAGCGCTTCTATGCGTTAGCAACCTTGGTACTATATTTGATATATCAGGTAACTATACGGTTTTACAGGTAATAACATTGTTTATTCTAGAAGCCCTATGTTATTTTTAGAGCAATTCGAGTGGTGTGCTTGCAACCTTTTAAGCCTTCCTCTTGTGGTGAAATGATTATCATCAGAGCTATGTGCATATGCAAAAACATTTCTTATTTCTTATCAAATAGACAAGCAGACTGCGCCTGCAGACCTCGATCAACGCTGAAAGTTAACTCCACTCAAAACTCGGTCCCTGTCCCATTCATGACACAATAATTATTTAAACAGTTATAATCATATTTTTATAGATGCTGACACTTTTATTTTGAGTTTAATTGGTGAAAATCACAATAAACAGAAGTACTTTGATCGTGAAACTGCTATTATCCCCCCCAAACACACACAAATTTTCTGTACTTTTTACATTAACATCACGATTTTTTTTACCACCATAACCTCACATTGTGACTGCTCTGATCACTGCTATTACAAATGTTAAAATAAGATAATACCTGCTACTTAGCATTAACTGCTGCCTGAAACTGAATATATAACCAAATTATTTTTTGTAAACTCCACTAAAGGTTCAAACACTTAATTCTGCAAGTTGATAAAATACTTTAAATGCAAAACTTTTCTGTGGCATAAGTTGGGAGCTGAAGTGAGCTGTCTGCCTACAAACTCGCTGAGTTTTTGTCCTGTCAGTTAAATGAACATGTTTCTGTTAAAGGGCCTAACTGCTGTCACACAGCGTGTTTACACTTATTTGCATCTTTGCATACATGTTAGCATTTTACTTCTAACTGCTCTGTACCTCCTAACATTTTCTATAAAAACATTTTTCGTGTTAATACCAAAAGGTGATCACTGCTCCTGTTGGACTGAAGCCAGAGGTCCAGCTTTCACTGTTTTTTTTTCTGTTGAGTTAGCCAAACACTCACACAGCAATGAATTCTGACTGTTACCAAGTTAGCAAGCTAGCTTAGCTAGCTACCTACACTGCAAAATAATTCCTTTTAACATCATTAACGCTGCGAGAAAACACACAACAGTCATGAGAGAGTCTCAACAGGCTCAAACACCGTGGATGAGCACTTGTTATTCAGAGTTTAGTTATAACTCGGGTCAGCAGTGGATTTCAGCGTCTGCATTAGCTCAAAGCTAACGATGACTTTCCCCCTGTGCTACGACGCTAGCAGACTTAGCCGGAGGAGCTAGCGCAAAGCTGTGCGTGTGTGAAGCCGGGATCCGAGCGCAGGGCAGCGGCATCTGAGTGCCAGGTTCCCCCGCTGGGGTCCTACCTTAGCTCTCGCCAAGGCTTCGCGTTCCGGTAGTAGCGACAAACTGATAATTATCAGCAGCCTTCACTCATCTGATTTTCGATTTCACCCGATGTCAACAAACAGGCTCCGCCTCCTGCTACTTCTACAACTCTTCTTCTTCGTCGTCTTTTTCTTCTCCGAGGTCGGTGGCATCCAGCAGCCAGGTGTACTTCCGCCAGTGGAGTGAGGCTGATTCCAAATCTGCAGAAATACTCCTATAAATATGGATATCCAACAAAGTAATACATAAAACAATACCAATAACGGTTCATTATTAACCTGTAAAGTTTACGTAAATCGCCACAAGTAAAAAGATGTTTATAGTCACACATACTATTTGACGTGGACACCTATTTAAATTCTGTTAAACCCAAGATCGTTCGCAGATTAGTCCTTTATTTTCTTGCCTCTCAGCAGCCATCTTGGTCATCCCAGCAGTTATTTTGAGTACTGGATCAAAAATCAAAATTAGACCCACCAAGATATTAAAAACATACAGGAAAAAAGGTAAATGTATCTATATTCCCTTGTATGGAGGACGAAATCTGATGAATTTTTAAAAAACAAAAACAAAACAAAACCTTGTTTTAAATTTTATTTGTCATTTCCACAAAAATGAGAAAAACTGACTTACCTTTGTATGTGGAAGACCTAAACTGCCACATGTTTAAGAAACAAAAATCAGAACTACGAACAAATGCTATTAAATAGGAAAAAAATGAAAAAAGAGAGAAAGTACAGGTATTACTCAGTTAAATAATTAATTTCCCTTCCTTCCTACAGGAAGATTAAAAGCAAGACTGAGATTGTTGCAAAAGAATAGCGCAAAGGTTTTGGGTAATTAGAGGATGCTGTAGTGCAATTATATAATAAGAAGAACACTACAAAAAAGCTTCTTCTTTAAAAAAAAAAAAAAAAAAGCAGGGACCATGGTAAAAGATTGAGTATTAATGACACGATACTTGAATTTCCTGTTTACGTCTATCTTATTTTTTATTATTTCCTGTTTACTTGTTTGGTGATCACCAAAATAATAATAATAAAAAAGATTAGTGATGCCAGCCGAGTGACTTTCATCGTCTGTGTTAAATCTGTATGTTTTACATAATAACAAAATGAATAAATATTACTGATTGCATGACAACCCCCTTAACTGTCCTTTGGAAAGGATAATCGTTTCAGACATTCAGCATGCTTAATAGTTCAGAATCAGACTGTCGTTTTTACAATAGTCTGTTGTTTATTATTTACAAAAAAATACAAAACATTTTCACCATGATTCATGGAGACAGTGTAGGATTATTTTGATTTGTTTCCTGATGTATGTGATGTATGTTTTGTGTCTGTAAAGCAAATTCCTGCAATCAACTACCTACATCTTATCTCTCACTCACTGCGCTGCAAAAACAGAAAGATCAAACAGTCGTATTACAGATGGTGTCACATATTTGTGAATCCATAACTACGTGTATTCAGGCAGCTTGGCATGCAGAGACCCTGCAGCTGTTGAGGGGAGGACTGTCAGCGGGAGTGTATTTATGTAAGATCTATGCCAACATTTGTCAGTTATAAAGAAAGGTTTGGGCAGTAATTAACTGTCTTTTAATTTATTAATTAAAAGCTCAACTCGGACCTCAAAAGCTTTACTCAGAATGTATTCTCTGGAATAAATCTTCTCGAATTCTTCCGTTTAAAAATGTATTACTAACTGGTCTGCAGGAGGCAGCATTGCAGCCGACAGTGCATTACCTGTCGGATTTCCTTGGTAAAAGAAGAAGAGAAGTAGGAAGACTTCCCTGTGGCCAATAATTCATTCCTCTTTGGAAACAGTTAAAGGAAAGCACCGTCTCCTGCCTCGACATGTCTACAGCGTACAAAAACAGGTGAGAGGCATTCAAATCTCTGCCCTCGTGAGGGATATAGGGCGCGCGCACATACTGAAGCTGTTTATTTCAGCAGCTAGCCTCCAAAGCGTAGAATTAGCATTAGCAGCCCCGCTGACCAGACACGAGCCCGGTTACAGCCGCTGGAACACGCGCACTGTGAACGCTAATATGGGTTTTTCAGCTAAAAAAAAGAGTCACCGTTAGTATCGCAGATGGAAAGCGCGCAGGGTGCTTTGTAAACTCAAGTATTCAGGTATTATGCTACCTCCGTGTTAGCACATCAGGTGACACAACTTCCTCCACTCCCAAAAGGCTAACAATTAGCCACTGTCCGGCTAACGGTATGTGCTGACTTTGTTTGTGTCACCGAAAGATTGACAGTAAATCAGCTGTTCACACATAAACACTAGACCTGAACGGAAATTCAAACACATGTGCTTACTACAAACGAACCCGGCCCTCTGACCTGATATTTGCTCGACAAAAAGACCTTAGTAATGCCTTTTTATGGGTTTTTTTCTCTTTTGCTTTTTCTTTATTGAGCAAATCTTTTTCGTTAACAGTACATATTTTACAGAAGCTGACAATATTACCATGTCTTTGCTGTCAATGTAATAATCAAATCTCAGAGTAAATAGAGCCAAGTAAAGACTCGAAAACGATGTAAACACAAGCTGAAAATTTGACAGAGGAAGGACTGTTACACAAATGGCAGATTCTTATAATGGGAAAAGCAGGGTGTTTTCTGTTTAAAGTTTCCTTTAGATTTCAGGGAAAAGGGCCAATGGGGCGAATGTAGTAGGAAAAATAGTTACTGAGAAAACCCCCAAATTTGTTAGAAGAAAATAGCAAATTTTGGAGGGACAAATGTGAACATTACAAGGAAATAATAGGAAGAATAATAGGTCTACAAGGAAGAAATGTTTAATTTCTGAGGGAACAATAGCAAATTTCTGTGAAAATGTTGAGGAAATAAAACAAAATTAATAAGGAAATAACAGTCAAATTCTTGAGGTGGAACATTTTTGAGGGAAAAGTGACACATTTGTGGGGGGCGGCATCAGTTTTGTTTAAATAAAAGACACATTTCTGAGTCAAAAATACACCCAAGTGAGAAGAAAATGGAAGATTTAAGGGAAATAATCAACTTAGAGAGGAAAAATGGCAAACGTATGGAGAGAAAAAACCCCAGATCTGTGTGAGGGAGGAACAGAGGCAAATTTGTGTGGACGAAATGGGCAATTATACAAGACCTGGTAATATAATGAGAATAAATGGAAAGTGTACGAAATTACATTTATTTACATCTGATGAACAGATATGTTTTCTGTGCTTTAAAAATGGCTCAAATATTTACATCTTAATTCTGGGTTTAATTTTTCCTGTGGGAGATCGGCTCAAACCTCTTTGGGGAACTGTGTTCCAGATCTACTGGCGTTTAGATCAACTGGCGTTGGTCGAACAGATGTGTGGCAGTCTTGCGTTTCAGGAGCTGCTACCGACAAACCAGCAAAAAAA